TGGTGTATGCTTCCCTGCCAGGCTGAGTGAGCAAGGCATTGAGAATTCGTTGCTGGTCTTCCGCGAGATTCACCGGGCATAGAGCTTCTTCTTCTTCTTCCGGAAATACACTTTGAGCGTCAGAAGCTTGCTCGTGTTGTTGTTGAGAGACAGATTGCTGTTGACCGCGTGGAGATGGTTGATGTTGACCGCGTGGAGATGGTTGCTCGTGAGATCGAGACTCTGGTCCTCGATGTGGATTCTGCGAGTTCGGGAACAACTGCGCCGGTGGTGGATAATCCCTCACGGATACTGATGGTTGCTGCGTGGGGACAACCGGCGGCGATGGCGAGGGCGTGAAGTCGTAACGACCTGGCAGAGGCGACAACGATCTGGCTTGCGACGGTGCCACACCTCCTCTGCCTCGTCCTCTCTTCCTTTCACCACGACCACCCATCCTCTAATCGTTGAAGAAGAAGTTGCTAATTGGGGATTTGGGGATTTTTGGTGAGATTTCTGGGTTGGGAGAGAAAGGGGTTAGGGTTTCGTCGAAGAGATTTGGGGAATTTTTGTTAAGTGGTTAGGGTTCTCGAATTTTTGGTGAGATTTCTCGAGTGTTTAAATGGATTTGGGCTTTGTTTACATTTTTTTTTATTTTGGGCCGAAATGTAGTCGCAAAGTAGTCGCCAATTCCCGACTACCATAAATTAGTCGTTAAATTAGTCGTTAAATACTGACCCAGTTACGACTGTTTTAATTAGTCGCTAATTAGCGACTAATTGCCGACTGAATTTTATGAGACGTAAATTGGAGGCAAATCAGTAGCCAATTAGTCGTAACAGTTAGCAACTGCCAAATCAATCGCTAAATGTCGTCGCCAATTAACTGTTTTCTTGTAGTGTATCAACGTTGAAAATGAAGTTGTTGAGGGAATAAAAGAGTATACTACAAAGTTACAAAGGTATGGTCTTATTCAAGATACAAGAATGGTATACGTAGTAACATATATAAAAGGAAGAGACGTCTTGTGTCTCTCTCTCTCATGATCATCAGTGTTTATCGGTGGAAGTAGTTTTAGCCTTAGGCTTCTTAACGATCATAACGGAGCAATGAGCATGATGAGCTAAATAGTCACTCACACTCCCCAAAAAAACCCTCTTGACATCTCCATAACCATGGCTTCCAAGAACAAGAACAGACGCATGATGTCTCTCCGCTGACTCCAACATTATGTTCCTCGGATCTCCTTCGATCACCTCCGACGACGAGATCTCGACAGATTTAGCCGAGCACACCTCGGCACATTTCTTCTTAACCAATTCCGCAGTCTTGTCACTACAAGAAAAATGAGTATTAATAGCACTTTAATATAGCGTTTTATGTGTTTTTGTTATGGTTGATTTATGTCTAGTTTTTATATAGCGTTTTTGAAACGACAAACGCTATAATATATTGGGCGGCTAAAAATATATGTTTGAGCTTAATTTTTCATTTTCCAATTATTTTGTACGAATTGTAAAACGTTATCGTAGGTTAGCCACAAATAAATAATTTTGATTGCCCGCCTAAGTTATAAAAAATGGTACTAAATCAGTTTTACTAAATGAACAACAACAAATTTGGTCAACAAAAACTTAGGGTTTTCAGAAAATTGCCCTTTTGCTCTCCGTTCTCTCTTCGTTAGTCTCAAGCTCTTCTCTCAATCTCGATCTCTCTTCTCTATTCTCTTTCAGTATCGATATGATCTCTTTCACTCTCAGCCATCCAAGTCTCCAAGCTTTTCAGATCCTCTCTTCCTCGTCTCTCCCAGCCTCCTTCAACGACGAAGACGGCGAAGCAAAGTTTTACCAAAATCATCGCATCTCAGAACCATGCTCTCGTGGCGGCGATTTGGACTCAACGATCGATTCTCACTCTCATCGCCTGATTTCCCTCTCTCTCTCTCTCTCTCTCTCTCTCGTTTGCTGCCGGAAAAAGGTTTCATTCTTCTTGTTCGATCTAGGGTTTATACTTAATCAGATCTCATGAGATTTCTTAAATCCGTAGTTTATGTATTCTTCTTTTCTAATTTCGTTGTAGTTGTTCATAAGCGTCTGCCTTTCATATGAAAACTCTTTCTGTCTGGACAAAAATTCTGAGTTTCCAGGTCTCAGCTGACTGTTATTAGATAGAGTGTATATGCCTTAATCGAGTTGAAAATTCTTTTTAAGATAAATTTCCCATCTAGAGATTATCTTTTCTCAGGTTACTTGCGGCTCCAGAGACACTAATTGAGAAAGAAGTGCAAGAGAACTCCATGGTTAAACTCAAATTTTTTTATTGAGGCACATGGTCTTCCTATCTTGTCAGGAAGCAAAGCAAGCTATTCAACTGATGTACAAAAATGGGAAATGATAGATATATGTGATGCTTTGGAGCTATTAACTCCTCTATTTGAAAGTGAAGAGGTACTACAAGTGCCCAATTTACTTTTCTTCCGGTCTTTTAACCTTCTACTAGATCTGCTTGTTTGTTGTTTGCTAATTACTCGCTACACCTACTGATAGGTTTGAGCTTATGCTGTGAGTGTCCTTGAAAGAGCTGATGATGAGGAGCTCCAGTGTTACATGCTTAAAATGGTTCAAGCTCTCCTTTTTGAACGCTCATATAGATCTCGGTTTTCTCAATTCCTTGTCTAAAGGGGTATGTTCTGAACTTCTACCCACGAAAGTTTGTCTATTTTTCTCTGTATTAGTGTTTTATATTTGTTCCATGAGTCATATATACATTGACTGATTCTGTTATTTTCCTTTCAATCTTTTAGCATTACAGAATGTTGCTGTGGAGCTTTTTGACAATGTCTATGAAAGGCGATTTTACAGCACATACAACTTACTCTATGAGAGTATGAAAAAGGTGTGGAACTTGGGATGTGGGTTTTGGTTAACAGTGCCAGGTTGTTATGTAACATATTTATTATTGATGGAGGCACATGAATGTCGTGTTAATTTTTTGGAGTTTTCTTAGTTTTGATTTTCGTGGTTGTGATCTTTGCAGGTTGCTTCTCTTTAACTTGATTATGGATATGTTTCACATGTGAAGTTGCAACTTGCAAGATGATGTATGATGATCTCTGAGAAAATAGTAGGAGAGGAGTCCATTCGCCAATGTTGGTTGTTGCCATCAGAAGCTACTTTTGATGATGATAATGAAGAAGTTCAAATATTGGAGATCCAAGAGTGTGAAGAGAATTCACAAGTTCAAATACGAGAGTCGTATGAACTTAATTTTTAATTATGTACGTTTCTGTCTTTTTTGTTTACGGAAGTACTTTTACTTTGTAATATAGGTTTTTTTGTATAATAGTTTCATATATGAAAGTAATAGAATAAAATATGGCAATTTAATGTCTATTTATCAACAGCAAAAAAATCCAGTAAATGGTGATTTAAATAAAAATTATTGGAATAAGCTACAGAAATCATTATATATATCGTATGCTATTGTAAATAATAAAAATGCTATAAAAAACAATTAATAACTGAAAATAATTACTATGATAGAATATATAATTGCATGGTAAAAAGCGCTATATTAGATGAAGACACGATAGCAATGCCAAAAATCGCTATCTAAAGTGCCAGACTTATTATGACGGGCGATGATAGAGCGCTTTTTAAAACGCTATCGTATTGTTAGATAGCGTTTTTACGATGCTAAGAATACCCTTTTTTCCTGTAGTGTGTGCAAATCTTGTTCCACCATCGGTATTATATCTACCGTACCGGGACCGGCAAAGCCGAGAACAGAGGTCGCGGTGGGTCTGGCGTGAATGACGACGAGTTTGAATTGTGGGTTTGATTTGAAAGGTACGAAGAAAAGATCGAGAGCCGTCTCGAGTGCGTGGTAGCTATGTGCTGAATCATCTACTCCTACGACCACCACACGCTCACTTCCACTTGCCGCCATCTTTCGAGTCTCTTTTGGTTTAAGATTTTTTTGGCTTTGTGATTGTAATTAGACTCTCTCTCTTTTTGTTTTGTACATGAGAAAGTGGTTTCTATTTGAATGATAAGTTGGCGGGGATGATGTGGTCGAGCGTTGTTGCCGGGACAGATTCTCACGCGAGGCCTCTTTGTTCCAACTAAAACGGGTCTGTTTAGAAATTTCAGTTAGGTCTTTGTGTTTTGTTTTGTTTGTCAACAACAACTTGACTAGTTACGTTTGCATTTCCCAATACTATATAGGGTCTTTTTTGTTCAAAAGAGTTTGACCAAAGTGAAATCAAAGTTTTTTTGTTTTGTTTTGTGTGTAAAATTCATCTATCGTACATAAAATTCTTTACAAATGCAAAAAAAGGGAGTTATTGATGAATAATTAACATTAGGAATGAATTCCAAGGAAATTTCTATTTTAAGTAAAAAAATAACACTAGGGTCGTATTGTATTATGTAATCGTATAAATTTATCGTATTAAGGAGCATCAGGTGAGGCAATCTCTCACATTAGCGGAAGTAGGCCGTCTCCCATTAACTATTGTATTCAACATTCATCGAGAAATAATTAATTTGTTTCATTCCGATGATTTTTCAAACGAATATTTTTGTTGATGTTAATCACCGTAAGCAATCAGCGTAAGCAGATCACCGTAAGCAATCACCTTTGTTGATGTTAATCACCGTAAGCAATCACCGTTTCAATCAAATATCCTTATATAAACCGTCTCCCTAGGTTTGTTTATATTTTTTGTTGCTGTTTTCAGGTTTTGAATTGAAACGGTTTAAGGATATTTGAGTATTTCTTTTCTTGAATGACGCAATTACAGGCTTCAAATTTTAACTTTTCCAAAGTAAAGAAAAAAAAGAGACGTCTGTTCAAAAGATAAGGAAAGGTAAAACGTAAGTTACCCCTACATATCACCCGACAAAAGAAATCCCCTACTACGAAAATTAGATAACACATGAAATTCACATGCCGTATGTATATCTTTTCTTTTTGGGTCTAAGCCGTATGTATATCTTTATTCGCATGATTTATATTATAAGCTTTTAAATACTTTAAGCTTTTAGGATATTTAGTCCCTTTACCGTAAAACAGACGACTACTGACGCAATGATGCTGTAGAATTTTCTATTTCTTTCGCTCTTTTTTTTTTGTTTCAAAAATTAAATTTCTCATAAACTAGCAGATAGAGTACAGAAAATTTCAAAAAGAATAAATGAATTTATAATATTTTCGCCTAAACATTTGAAATCATCTGAACGCTACATAGAATTTGATACATTCAAACGATAAAAAAATAATTCTAACTGTGACTAAAAGAAGTTAATAACATATAGAGACGATAAAAATACGATCATTTCATTTATTTTAGTTTTTAGTTGTATTTTGGAAAAAAAAAATAGAGAACATTTAACATCACATTTTTAAGGTTTGAATTTTGAACTGCTATGAATTGTCAATATTTTTGTTGTTGTAATTTTCCTTTTGTTTGTTTCCAGAAGATTTCTCAACTAGCACACTGGCACACGCTACTTCTTTCTTTATATACACATACACTCGTTTATCTTATATACAGCACACAAGCTCATATCGAGTATAGATACACCCCTTATTTACATGAATCTTTAACAAGAAATATACAAAACAAACTAACAAAAGTACCACCACAAAACTAACATGGCAAAGCTAATCCTCGCCGCACAAATCCTCCTCCTCCTCGCCGCCAACGTTGTTTCCACTGGGAAGATCGGTGGAGACCTCGCAAGAACAATAAACAAGAAACAACTCGGTCTCGATAGAAAGGAGAAACTCACACATCTCCGTGTCTATTGGCACGACAATGTAAGCGATCGAAACCCAAGTTCCATCATGATCCAACCTCCCGTGTCTAACTACGCCTCCTCTTCCTCCTTTGGATCAATCACCATGATCGACAACGCACTAACATCAGATGTGCCCATTAACTCGACTGTGGTGGGCCAGGCCCAAGGAATGTACGCAGGAGCAGCTCAAAAGGAGGTAGGGTTCTTGATGGTGATGAACTTCGTTTTCAAGACTGGCGAGTATAACGGGAGTACGATCACGATTCTTGGTCGGAACACGATTATGTCCAAGGTAAGGGAGATGCCGGTGGTTGGAGGCAGTGGACTGTTCCGGTTCGCTAGAGGTTATGTTGAGGCTCGGACCAAGTGGTTCAATCGCAAGACTGGTGACGCCACTGTTGAGTATAATTGTTACGTCTTGCATTACTAATTAAGTTTAATGGACTTTATTTTGGGTTTGGAGATTTGTTTCACTCATTTTCATTGTCTTTTTATTAATTTATCTTATGTTTTTTTTTATCTTAGTCTACTGTTGTTCATTGAAAACAATTGTTCTTGTTTTGCTTACTGCTTTGACTGAAATCCTATAAGATAAAGAGAAATGATAGTAAGATATTTGATTTTATAATTAAATCATATATTACAAATGTTGATCAGTCGATGAATTCAACTACATGCATCACATAGTTTTCTTCAAGATCACGACGTACGTTATAGTATTCTGAAATCTCTAATAATCTTTGTATCTATTTAAGATGCAACTTTTCTTGGAATCCAAAGTTTATCGAAAATCAAAAATGTTTGATACGTAATAAACAACCGCTTATCCAAATAGCGATGTTGGGACCATATATAATCGTTATTCCAAAAAGGGATGTTATAGGGAAAACAGAAATAATTAGGGATCAAACGGATAAAAAACTCCGATAGTGAAACGAGTTCTGAGGTTTGGTCTAGTTTCAACGTTCAGTTATCCACACACACACACACACGCATAGGCCTTGTGAGTTTGTCGACGTTTCTCTTCCTTACTTCCCACCCTTGTTCCGCCGATTGCGAATTCCGTGGCATGAAAATGAGCTGAGATATCGAAGTTGACAAGATAGAAGTGGAAAAATGTCGTCTTTCTTCAAATCTTTTGCTGGGAATCCCAGGGAGGCGGCTGCCATGGCGATGGTGCAATCCTCATCTTACAGAGTACGTGAAATTACTTTGAATCCGTTTTCCTCATTCGTTTTGAGCACTGGGAAAGTGATAGCCTTTCTTTCAAGTTCGATGTCTAAAACACACTTGTCTCCGAATTGGTCCATAATATCAATGCAATGGTGATTTTCGGTTTTGGGGATTCGTTAAAGTAGTTCGCCTTTTGTTATATAACTGAAAAGGTCGGTAAATACCTCCGTTGGCGGAATGTGTTCTTAAGCTTTTACTATTGCACACCAATTGTTCGATAAAATTTCAGAGGCTTGTGGGGTGACTTTTATCCATTGCCTGTGTCTTCTAATAATAAAAGTGTATTAACTTTACAGGAAAAATGGAAAAAGAAATTGTAAGTAGTTCACTTGAGTTCTGACTCTCTGACCATCTTATAACGGCTTCATACGTGGAACTCACTTTAACCAAACTAATTCTGTTTTCAGGCTCTGTTCTTTTATAAAAAAAACGTGTTATTGGTTAAGGAACTTGATTGGAAAAAAATACTTCACCTGTCATTCTGACATAAATTCTTGTATATTGCTGATAATTTGCGTGGAAATAGTTTTGAGATGTGGGTTGTGTCTGTTCAGGTATTGTCAGGTCGAAATTGTTCAAATTTAAGGAGAAAGACTCCGTTGGATTCTTTTCTTGCCAAGGGAAGGTCTTCCGTCAATGCGTTTTCTTTCCTATATGTCTCACGCTATTCAACTCAACCAAACAATGAGTTTGGTCATTCATCAAAGCGAAGGTCTCGTGGGCCTGTTATGGCAGCAAAGAAAGCATCTGAAGGTTTGCATCTCACTGCTTGTACTTATATCCTAGTACTGTTATGCAATTTGGAACTCATTTACTATTGTGTTTGGTTAGGGGAAAAGCAAGGAGAAGGAAAGTACAAGCACACAGTTGATTTGCCAAAGACAGGTTTTGGTATGAGAGCGAATTCTTTGACGAGGGAACCTGAACTCCAGAAGTTGTGGGACGAGCACCAGGTCTTCAAGAGAGTTTCTGATAATAACGATGGAGTGAGTTTCTCATGATCCTCTCACATAAACTTTGCTTCGAGAAACTGGTATCTGATAGTTAGTTGGAATTTCAGGGGAGTTTCATTCTTCATGATGGTCCTCCTTATGCCAATGGTGACCTGCATATGGGTCATGCTCTTAACAAGATACTGAAGGATATCATTAATCGGTATAAGGTATGAACCTTTCCTTACTGTACATGCATTTACTCTCTATTTGGCTTCTCTATTTTTTACTTACATCCAATTAAAGAGTGTCTTCTCATCAAATTGTCTGCTTCTTCATCCAGCTGCTCCAAAACTACAAAGTTCAGTACGTTCCTGGGTGGGATTGCCATGGCCTTCCAATTGAGTTGAAAGGCAAGTACATAATAGGTTATGGACCCTTGAGTCATTACAATGAGAAAATAACCCTGCTTTTATTTCCAGTTTGTTATATTTCTCAGTAATTTGGCTGTAACTGTTAAACATTTCAGTTCTACAGTCCCTGGATCAGGAAGTGAGAAAGGAACTTACACCACTAAAATTAAGGGCAAAGGCAGCAAAATTTGCGAAAGCAACAGTCAAAACACAAATGGAGTCATTTAAGGTGGGTATCAAGCTTTAATTCAATACCTGAGTTCTTATTTTGAATGCATCGCTCAATATGATGGTTAGATCTCTCAGGACATTTTAGTTGCGTGAGAGATTGTTTTGGTCATTCAATTGACATTTAGCACATATGACATAATACTTGGTGTTTACAGCGATTTGGAGTCTGGGCAGACTGGAACAATCCTTATCTAACACTTGATCCAGAATATGAAGCAGCCCAGGTAATGGTCATAACCTCCCACATTATTTACTTGATTACATAATCATGCAGGTCCAGGAGATGATTATTATAATTATTTGATCGTATATAGATTGAGGTATTTGGCCAAATG